CATGGAAGGTAAGGATTTAGCCATTAAGACATCACACCAAACCCCAAAAACTACTTTTGAAAGGTTGAGTAAGGGGATGGATATTAAGAACTCTTTTCTATGGAATTCTATTCTGTAAAACCAGAATCAGGAAGAAGCACCACTGGTAATGACAATGTACTCAAACATTCTATTTGAGGTAGCTCTCCAGCATGCTTGGCTAGTGGAAGCAGCAGTACTGCCAATTGATTATTGATAGCCTGAAAGCATGTTTTCTGCATGTATCCTAGGAAACTACCAATTCACAGTAGCTCAAATGCACTCTGAGACTGATTTTCGCATTTCTCAAAGTTGGTAGTGTAAATGTCCACAGTACAGAAACAGTTTTGGGTCACTGGCGATAAAAGATTCTCTCCAGATGTAATTCTTCCAAATTTGCCTTTCTCATCTGTAGAAGAAATTTTAATACAATTTCTAAGAATCCTCCAGTGAACAGCAAAAGCCAAAATCTGTGGTGTGCTTTCTGAGGGCCACACATACCTACGTTACCTCACTGAAACTGCATAACACACCAATAAGATAGATAGCAATATTTTCCCTATTTTGTGGGTAGGAAGTTGTGATATGCACAGGTCATGAAATTTTCAGGCTCAAACAATTGATGCTGGTAGAGCTAGCTTTACTCCACCAAACTTGATATGAGATTATATTAATAATCACTCTTATTCATGGCCTCCTGCTTAGTTTCTGGGAATTATTAATTCTAGCTATTTGTATAGATCTCAAGAATGGGAAGACAATATAAAACAAGAAGGAAACAAAATTAGCCAGTACAAGACAGCATTTAACTATGCATGTTACCCAAACCCCCATGCCATGATGCCATGTCTATTTCTGATTATACATATGTATACATATATACATGTATATACACATGTATATACATATGTATATATATATATATACATATATGTATATATATATATTTCACTGATTATTCCGAAGTGGATAAATATCTTCTCCCTGCTTTCACAGTAGCCTTTCTACACACCTCCAACCATGCAAATGTACTCTCCTACTTTACGAACTACTGTCCCTCTGACTTAAGATTTGGATGGTGGCCATTAGTAAAAGGGAGTTACAAGTCTGACAAATCTGGCTATTTTCTTCTGGTATCATCAGATGTAAATTGATCTGGGGTCTCTGAATAAGACCATGGTATTTTTAACTTTATTTATTTTATTTAGGAGGGAGGGGGGAGAAATAGGGAGACAAAGAGACACACAGAAACAGGGAGAAGCCTTCCATCCACTGATTCATTCTCCAGATGCTTACAGAGGTCCCACATGGGTATCAGAGACCAAACTACCTGAACCATCTTTTGGTGCGTCCCAGGGTTTGTAATAGCAGAAAGTTGGAATTGCTTCTCTACTATGAGATGCTAGTATCTCATGAAGTAAGGCCTTACTCTTAACTATGCCACAGCTAAAAATAACTTGACAGAACAGAGCTAAGTGGCCTTAGTTTAACTGGCTTCAGCTTGTCTAATACAGCCTTTCTTTATAATCTCTGGGATTGTTAGCAACCAGGACTGTGCTGCTTCAGCCCTCATTGGAGTTCTGAGTTGTATTAGCCTGGTTTCTATACTAGGTGAAATGAAGTTTATATTCAGCAAGATCTGGGGTTCTTTTGAAGATCTGAAATGTCCTATTAGAACATTACTGTTATAAATTATGGGATTGTCCTCTTCCACAGTCTCTGGCCAGGACTCTTATCACAAGGCTTGGGTGTGCCTTGGGATGAACTGACATGGTATGTGGCCTTAGCTGAGTAGGATTGTGTACCAGAGTACACAGAACCTGCCTCTATCACGAGTTGTTGTTGGCTTATAGATAAAATGGTCTCATTATTTGCATGTCTTAGGATTGGTCAGAGTTGTGTTGTCCCCAGATTATTGAGCTTTATCCCTGCATTGGTGTGGCTATTGATGAGGCTTTGGGATGGGCTTCAGATTGTCATTAATTGAATCAATGACGTATTAGACTGAATATATTTTTAAACCAAGCCTGGCTGGGTCTTTGGTAGGGTATCAGTGGGGTTGCGGAATTCAATAAGGTTTTGACAGTTAGGGGGCTGAGGTTGTAGACAGCCTAGCCTATAGGATGCCATCAAATCAGTTTCTCTATTTACGTTACGCTTCTGACTCTGGATTTAATTTTATCAATTTTTTTATCACCAAAACCATTATTCAGTTGCTTCAGATGCTATAGAAATTTTGCTGTTCCGGCGAATATATATATATTTTTTCTGAGACCAGTTCCTTAATTTATTGCAGATGATGGATCCAGGATCCAGGGGTACATCCAAGAGCAGAGCAAACACTAAATTGATACCACATTTAATGGACAGTATCAGACATGTCCACCGTGCAGCAAATGTTTATAATGAAAAAAATTCTCTATGTTTCTTGAGTAGTCTGTAGTATCTGAAGTTCTTTCTATAACCTCCGTGAAAAACCTAAATAAATGGCATTTAGGTGCCTAGTGAGGCTCTAGGAATATTAGATGGCAATATTATCAGCTCAGGCAGCTTTGCGCTTGACAATGTGACAAAAGGGGCTCATCACATGTTTCAGAAAGTTTTAGTCATGTGTTTTAGAAAGTTGGGGGAAAGTAAGGGAGAGTGAATCACCAAGAGAATGGTAAGTGAACAGGCTGTATCTAGCAATCACTCTCAATCAAAGAAGCCAGTGGTTAAAGTGCAGGACTGAACCTTAAAGCAATTAGCCTAGTAACACAAACTCTCCAAGCTTTTGGAAGGCAGAGAGCTTGAAATTCCTAGTATCGTTATATATCTAGGGATTAAAACTTACATGTGGCACAGTAAGGTAAACCTCCATTTGTGATGTCAGAGTGTTGGTTCAAATCCTGGCTATTCCACTAATGATCTATCTGACTGCTAATATACCTGGGAACACAAAAGACAGTGGTCCAAGTACTTGGGTCCCTGATACCTATGCGGGAGACCTAAATGGAGTTCCTGGCTTATGGCTTCTCCCTGGCCAAGCCCTGGCTCTTGTCGCAAGAGGAGTCAATCAATGAATTGAAGATGTGTGTGTGTGTGTGACTGTATGTATATATAAGTGTATCACTCTGCCTTTCAAGTAAATAAATACATGTTTGAAATATTTTTTTTTAATCTTGGTATTTTTTCCCTTGTGGGTAAACAATACTTTGGAGCATTCACACATTACTATCTTATCCTCATCGTCTTCTGAAAAGAAAGGTTTCCCCTTCCCAGGAAAGGACCCTAGTCCAGTCTGACTGCTCCCTGGTGACACAATGACCTTTGTGTAGAATTAGTGGAGTTGGCTCAAGGATTATCCTCTTGACTCCCACAGCAGGTGGCGCCGTTGACTACTTTCCCCAAGAAACTCTTCCTTGGCCCAGCTTCCAGGACGACATTTCAATGCTGCCATGCGCACGGTTCATCTACTGCATCTCTCCAACCCAGCACTATCTATGTACACTACTAGATAGTACCGTGGGTGCCATTCTTCCATTGACTTTCTGAGGGGCAGAGGAGCTCCTGAGGCAGAGAAGATGGGAGAAAGTATTATCATCATCAGTGACTTAACACACGTGATTTTTCCTGTGTAAAATTTATTTGTTTATTTATTTTATTGAAAGTGGGGGCGGGGGGTCATGGGAGAGGTAGAGACAGAGAGAAGCTCCTATACTCTGGTTTACTTCCCAAATGCCTACAGTAGGGGAGGCTGGGGAGCAAGACCACAGTCCAGGTCTCTCACACGGGGAGCAGCACCGGATCAAGTCCTTGAGTTACCATCTGCTGCCCACAGAGTGGACATCAGCAGTAAGCTAGAATAGGAACATCCACTTAAAGAACTGCTTTTTTTTTTTTTAACCGCAAGAACATTCTTAAACACCCTGATTGTGAGTAAGACACAGCCACAACATCTCTCCTGCCCAGCCTCAGAAGCGACACGCCTTCCCTTCTCTTATAGGTCAGTGTTCTGTCAAGACCAGGTGAGGGACACAGGGTCATTTGCAAGGTGACCTAGGGCAATGCATTATGAATCTTCAACACTTGCTGCACAAAACAACCATGGTTTGAGATTTTCAAGACCCTTGGATTCTGTGGTTCACATGGAGGTTGGGGTGGGAGGAAGCATCCATGGATGGTCACACTGAGGTACAAAGTGGAGGGAGAGATGCGTGCCTGGAGAAAAGATCCTAGAAAATTGCGTCTGCGTGTGCCTTGAAGAATCCCAGGGTGGAAGGCACTGGAAATTAGGATTGGGGTCCCACTGGGGGCTGGGGCTCAGAGCCCACTCTACAGAACATCCTGTGATGTAAAAAGGCAAACGGGGGGGGGGTTTCCTGCCAGACTCAAATTGCTTGAATTATCAACGGTTTTATAAACTGTAACTTCCTGCCCCATAGTCAACACAGGGAGGAAAAAAACCCAAGTTCACCTGCTGTGCTGATTTCAGACTGGACTCTAGGCAGTCTGCTTAAGATCTGCATGAAGAACAGTAAGGTCACTGGAGCTTTTGGGTTTTCCTGCTTTATTTGCACAATAGCTTGTTTACCAGGATCCCAGCCTGGGACCACGTGCCTGGAGGAAACAAGTTCTCATCCCAGTCCGCGGCATCTTAAAAAGGAGGCAAATGCCAGAGAGAGAACCGAGAATGACTGTGAAAAACGAAATGGGACGGTTCGTGAGAGACAGCGGGAATATAACAGAACAGCTTACACACATATATACACGCTTAAGAAAAAAGAGACGCACCCCCCCAAGCTTGGGAGACCCTGGCCCGAAAACCCCCAGTGGCCTCCCAAGCGTGGTCCCTCTACGTTTGACCAGCAGGTGGCACTCTCTGAACTCCCTTCCCCTTCCCCGCCTAAACAGTAAGGCAAGGGATTCGAGGGGAGGGAGAAACAGCAAAGCACTCCCCCAACCAAGAACAATTTCCAAACCCACCCCGAAAGACTTTAAAGCTGGGACAAAGCAGCGTCAGGCCCCAGCGGCTTCTATTGCACAACCTCAGCGCAGCCTCGGGAGCGGCCCGGCGGCCCACCCGGAGCAGCCCCTTTAAAACGGCGGAGTACAAGTATTGGGATTCTTGAAACCTGAAACCCAGAAGGCGAATTGAGGCGGAAACCAGAGGGAAAACCTTGAACTCCTCCAGACAATTGCTTCCGGGGAGTTCCGAGAGAGCAAGCGGGGAATCCAGGGCCCGACTGGAGGGGGCCCTCGGATGGCGCATCCCTGAGGGCCGGGAGAGCTCGTGCAGCGCGGGAAGGCTTCGTCCCCGCTGTGTCTCCTCAGGCTGCAGGTCATGGCCCCCGTGGAGCAGAAAGCCCTGGGCGCCGGCTTCCAGTGGCTCTCGCTGGCCACCCTGGTGCTGCTCTGTGCCGGGCAAGGGGGGCGCAGGGAAGATGGGGGTCCAGCGTGCTACGGGGGATTCGACCTGTACTTCATTCTGGACAAGTAAGTGGCGGGAGCCGGGGAGCCGGGCACGGTGTGTCCTCCCCAGGCCGGGATACTCGCCGGAGTGGCTGTGGGACTGGCGCGCCCGGTTGCGGGGGACACAGAAGGACCGCGGGAGGTGGCGGCCGCTGCGGGCGCTGCGCCTTTGTAGGGCGAGCGGAGCTGGGGAGGTGACGCGTCCAGTCGTGGCGGGGACAGTCGGCTTTTCTGCCCGTTTTTTTTTTTTTTTTTTTTTCCCTGTGAGTTAGAGGATGCTGTCGTGTGGTTCGGTGGCTGCGTCTGCCTTCCCGTTAGGAGGAGAAAGGCTTGCTTTTGCCAGAGGCAGGACTTTAAGACCCGTGCCGGGTTCGAGGCTTGGGCACCCTGAGGTCGCTGGCGCCGGGTCTGCCTTTGTTCCTAGGAAGAGGACGCGTGCCCTGGGCAGCGGGCAAGAAAGTGTGGCGTTGGAAGCTCGGGGTCACTGTGGTGGGCCGGTCCTGGGCCTTGGACAGAGTTCAGCCGCATCTCTGCTGTCTATCCTTTACACGCTGGTAACAGCTTCCCCTTCCCCAAGGTCCCCAGCCAGCAGATTCCTCCTCCCCTTGGACTTGAGCTGTGAGCTGGGCTACCCAGGCGGTACAGGAGCTCAGGTTTCCTGCCTAATGTGACTAGCGGAGGTTGGGTTCCAGGTCTTGGCTAGGGAGAACTGAACTCCCACCAGTTAAAACACTCCCTGGGTCCCTCAAGCCGCAGCCACCCTCTGCGGAGCACAAGTTGAACAATAAGATTCCCCTGAGAGGGAGTCTGGGTTCCTATACTTCTCTGCGCTGCCCCGGGGCCAGGAGAGGCGCTTGCTGGTCCCCGCGGTGGGGAGATGAATTTCACAGACTGGAAAGTATTTGGGAGCTGGAAAGCGACTCCTGCAAAATAAGCTGCCCTGCTAGACACCAAATGTGCTTTGCAGTCGCTCCTGGAAGTTTGATTTTTTTTTTTTTTTCCATAGAGGCTGAACTCCAGATTCTTTGGATGAAAAAGCGAGATCTCTTTCTTGCAGATTTATGAGAAGGTGGATGCTGAAATTAGACTCCGCTGCTAAGAAAGGGAATTTCTTTTGTTGCTGCTTCTAGCAGCAGAGAGCACTAACTCGGAGAGGGCATTTTGAAACACAGATGTCTGTCCTTCCTGCTTTGAAACACACACACACACACACACACACACACACACACACACACACTCACTCACTGCTAGTTGAGAAAGGCGATAAGAAAGCTTGTAAGAATGGACAGCATCACCCAGTCCCTGGGTTGAGTCAGCAGGTAGAGGAGAGATAGTTCATTCTCCCCAAGTTAATTTCTCCACTGAATCAAACTTCTCAAGTTTCTGAAGGAATTTGTTTAGGTGATGGGAGAGATTTAGCAAAATGATTAGAAGCATGTGTGTGTGTGTGTGTGTGTGTGTGTGTGTGTGTGAGAGAGAGAGAGAGAGAGAGAAAGTTAAAAAGAAAAGACCTGAAACATTTTTAGAAGAACATCATGAAGACATTCTCTTCTCTACAAATAATAAAGGCAAATTAATAAATACAAAGTGGGTAAGGCCAAAAAAAAAAATAGGTGGACAGAATAGAAAATCTAGAAGTGGGACAAAGTCCATGTAAGCATTTAATAACATCTTCAAGCAGTAGAGAACAGATTCCTTATTTTTCAAAATAATTCTTGGACAAACGGTTGATGACACGAGAAAAGATTATATTACACTTTATACACACATTAAAATAAATTCTAGAGGGGTTGAGCATTTAACCATTTAAAAATGAAATGCTCAGAGAACTAGAAAAATTAAAATTTAGATGAATAGCACTACAATTTTTTTGTTTAGAGTTTTCAAGAGGAATACAATTTATAGGGAATAATCAGAGATTTTATACTTCTATAAATTAAACACACAAAAGAGTTCAAATTACCTAGCAATCATTTTTTTTAAAAGGTAATATGTATTTTTAATAGGTTGGTTTAGTTGGTAAAGAATGATAGTACATAGAATTGGCAAATATGTGGGAGGTGTCCACTGTTGCACCTGCCTCAGGAGAGCATCAGCTGGGGCTTTCGCTCTTGGCTTCTGCCTTGCAGCAGGATTATCCAGGCTGTCAGAACTGTGTGCACCTCTGCTGTCCCATATGGTAGCTGTTAGTGGTATGTGACTGTTGAGCACTTGAAATGTGGCTAGTGCAATTGGGGCAGTGGATTTTTTTCTTTTGCTTGAGTTTAGTTCGTTTAAATGCAAATAGCTGACATTTTGAAAGAGCAGCCAAGAACGCACTTTGATGAGGATTCTATCTTTCCACTCAGAAATTCCATGTTCCAAAGGGGGTGACTACATGGGTGCTTATACAGTGCTGTTTATACTAATGAGGAGTTGAAAATTACCTGAATGTACAACAGGCAACCTGTCACCTAGGCATGCCATATGCATAGTCCTGAATGTACATTTCATAGTATGCGTGTTTACATCGCGAAGAATATGTAATGAAAATTTGCATGCTATTAGGTGAAAATACATACAACATTTTTTACCTTGGTGAAAAAAGTTCAGAATACATAAATGTGTGTTTGTAATTGCCCAAAAAAGTAATAAGTCTTTCTAGAAGATAGAATTTTTGAGTTCTGTTTTTATATGGGTGGTTTTTTTTTGAACTTTCAAAATCTTCTGTAATGAACATATGCTACTTTTATACTCAACAACGATAAGGTATTTGGAACTTTGAAATAGCACATCAGGTGTGGAGAGGGTCTTTCACATCCCCTTGTATTTCAGAAGACGCTGCTGCTTTATATTTAATCCTGGAGTAAATTTCTGAGTGTACTCTGAGCTTCTTAGGAGCACATCAGAGACCCCGAAACACTCCAAGAACAGGGTGGAGAGACCTTCTTGAGAACATCCCTTTACTCTCAGGGGGACGTCCCGGACTTTCTCAGTTGATCTGTGGCTGGAAGAGAGGGCTATTTTTGTGGCTGAGTCTTGGTAGGATGGTATATAGGCTTCCAGCTTGCCCCTCCCGCGAGCCCAGTGTGTGTGTGTGACTTTGAGTCTGTAGCTGGTGAATGGATCAAAAGGCAGCCATGGCACACAGGCCCCTGGGTGGTCCCTACAGACAGTGGTGCCTGTCCTGGAAAAGACACTCCTCCCACAGAGCTCCCAGCACCCAGCCACAGCAGAGTGGCAAAGGAAAGAATGCTGACCCGTTTTTTCCTTGGGCTTCTGAGATCCTTCAGCTGGCAAGACACCAAGATATCTGCAGGCTGAGACCAGTGGATCACAGGGGACAAGATCCAGCAGTCTTTCTGCCCACCCTTTCCACTCCGTTTCCCCCCTGCGACTGGCTCTCTGTTCCATGGCGTTAAATCCCAGTTCATTTCAGCTGGAAGCAGGGTGCATCTCTGGCCTGGAGGGAACCCAGATTATACATTTCAGGGAACGTCGTGTTTTCTCAACCAGGAGCAGAGACTTCATAATGACAACACAGTAGACCACAGTAACACAATAGGGCATTATTAGCGGCTTTGGCGACGGGGCAGCACAAGGCTTTATACTGATGGAATTTCATGTTCATTTAAACATGCTTTTCTGGTTAGAGTGGGGGAAAAGGAGATTTCTGGGAAATCAGTCAGGGATTTGAAAAGTCAGAGTTGCAAGGCCTCTAGGGTCCACACACAAACACTAAAGGAGCAGCTTTCCTTTTGGAATGGAAGTCTCCGGGGTGATGGAGGGTGGGGGGGGGACACATTTGTCCCACCAGTGGACATAAATATGTGTTTTTCTCCAGCAGGACCCTACCTTTAGGACAGTGTATCCTTAGGCATCCCCTGAGGACCTGTTTCAGAGAGAGCTATTTGTTAGTCACTTGTGAATTCTCCAGCAGGAGTCTGGGAACTGCTGGCTAGGATCTGAATGCCCTGAGGACTTCAAAAGCATCGGGCAATAGAACTGGAGGCACAGAGGAGGGAGGGGGCTGAAGGAGAGAAGGAGGTGCTGAGCTGCTTTATTTATAGGACTTTCCCAAGCCACAGTCTGACACTGATTTCCTGCACCCAGTAAATCTTTAAACCAGCAGAGGCCTCCCACAGCCTCACTAAGTGCTGCTTCCCCATCAGACTCTCTGCTGTGACACCTGTGTCTGGGGCAGCATCGGGTTTTAGGTTTTTGTTGTTGTTGTTTGTGTGATTGGTTGGTTGGTTTTCTCTTCCCCATGCCAAGGGCCACCTTGAGCCACTCACCCAGAGTTGCAGCTACAGCTCTCATCACTGGGTGAGCCCGCAGTAGTGTCTGTATGCAGGCCATACTCAACACACACACCTCACAGACTGGGAACCTCCCCACCATGAGTAGGACTGCCTTCCAGGGAAATGACCACCGGCATGCCCAAAATGGAGTGTTCTTTACCTGGAGTGTTTGCAACCAGAAGTGTTCAGATTTCAGACTTTTTTTTTTTTTGAGGGTGTGGGTTATGAGATTATTTGTCAACACACAATGAGATATCCCACAGACAGAGCCCGAAACCACACACAAGTTTCATTTGCATTTCATATATACCACACACAGAAGGAGGTAATTCCACACAGTATTTCTCCTGCACCTGTGCTTTGACTGCAATGTCACATGAACTCAAGTGTGGTGTTTTCCACTTTTGGTGTCCTATTGGCACTCAAAATGTTTTGGATTTGGGGGCGCTTCCAATTTGCTGACTAAGGTTGTTTAGCCTGTAGTTTCAAGGGAGGTCTTTTAGGAATCAGACTTTGTGTGAGTCCCATGATCTTTCACATCCTCCCCGAAGTGACCCAAAGGCTACCTTGTATGGTACATAGGGCAGGCAAAAGCCCAACCCCACCCCTGCCACTACCCAAATTGGAGACAAGACAACCTTTTTCTAGTCCACTGAGTTAGGCAGCTGCCTGAGGATCCAGCATCAGATCATGACAGAACCAAGCCCTTGTCTGCTCCTGATGCCCAGTCCAGTTCTCTCTGTG